CTAACAGTGTGGGTCAGGTATAAATTGGAGTTGTCCCTACTACTCTAGGTAAGCTAACAGTGTGGGTCAGGTATAAATTGGAGTTGTCCCCACTACTCTAGGGAAACTAACAGTGTGGGTAAGGTATAAATTGGAGTTGTCCCTACTACTCTAGGTAAGCTAACAGTGTAGGTCAGGTATAAATTGGAGTTGTCCCTACTACTCTAGGAAAACTAACAGAGTGTTAATATAAAACGTTTCGTGATACAAACGTTTCAGAAAAATTCTATTTATGGTTACAATTGTTGCCCATTCGGTAGACGTACTTACGCCCTGTTGTCATGGGCACTGGTAAATAGAAACTATCCATCTGGTGTTCCTCCATTGTATCACGACAATCTTATTGTTTTTCTAAAGTTTTCAGTCTCATGAAAGACAAAGAACGTCGGATACATGTTTTTATATTCCATCCGACGTGTCGACTTTTTCAAGGGTCTACGAACGTCACAGGTTACAAAATTGATTGTAAATTATAGTAATTACAAAAAAAAAGATTTATTTGAAGTTGTTTGTCGTATTCATTGAAAATGGTATATATGTTTTAACGTTGTCCAGCATTATTAGGCTTAGACACAAGTTGTTTTTCGGATAAATAATTGTCTATCAGAGATTCACACTGTTTTTTTTTTTACAACTGGCTCTTTGCCAAACTAGACTTTCTTAAGCGTACAATAGATTTAAGTACAAGTAGCTAGTGTAAAACTCGGGTTTTTGAGAAATAAATTTTTCTTTAATTTTCAATGACAAGACTAAAAGTTATATTGGTTTTAATAACAGATTTTCCATAATTCAGATATGCAATTTCGAAAATAACATTCATTTTTTCTATCACGTAAGGATTTTTTACAAATTGGGAAGAAAAAACTTACTTAGATCAAATCATTATTTCGTTTACCACAATGAACATGTTTTTATTATTATGTTTGTTAACAAAAATACAAACAAATTGAAGAAAAGGGAAGAACACTGATGCCAAACGAATATGCATTCTCGTTCATCCTGATTTTTGTGTGAAATCTACGTCTTATAGTCTCAAAAATACGTGTTGTGGTCTTTCATTTATGTATTGCGTTATGACGTTTCGTGAAAAATCTGTACGTGACGGAAAAAAATGGTTATCATTTTCGGATTCAGCGTATAGAAATTACTGTAGAACATATAAAATTATCAAGACAATAGTGCGTTATTAATAACAGTTTGAGAATTAAGCCTAAAGGAAAATTAAGTTCAAACTGGGAAGGAATTCGTAATTGCATTTTGCGAATTCAAAAATACAGTTTATAGATGGCGCTTTGATGCAATGATGAAGCATAAGAGTTTGTTCGCAGTCATCTGGTGTCTGCAGACAGACCAAAGCTTGTTTAAACGAACGAAACAGACACTGCACTGGTGATGTGATTTTGTTTTTCTGTAACACTACCTGCCTTCAGAAACAGTGTGAAAAAGGCGCGAGCCGCAGTAAACTGTGAGAAAGTCAACCACCACCTAAGTTAACAACTTCATTAAGGTCAAGTGAAGGATAGGGGTAAGGTCAGAAGCTTTATTGACCGAACATCTCGCTTAGAACGAGCACTCGGGCAGAGTTACTCTTCTCAAGCTGGTATATACACAAGCACTGTTATGCCCTCTGTCGGTTTCTTTCATAACAAGTAATTACAACGATCAATCATTCAGATGTTTGTATATTTCAGATATTAGAGCTAAGCTTCACGAGGGTTATTTGCACTAGCCGTTTCTGATAATGAATTGAAAGATTAGGGGTAAGATCAATAGCGCCCACCGCCGCCTCTTGGGCTACTCTAACCAAGGAGTGGGATTTGACTGTTACTATTATAATGTACCTACAGTTTGAAATATAGAGCACAATTTTGGGTGATAACTTGACTCGAACCTTGAATCCACTGATACACAGTCCTACACGATAATAACAAAGCCATGATGTGGCACATTTATACAATTCTACAAGTAATTCGTATACTATTATTACTATAAATATGTCACGTGTAAGGTTTGATTTGACATCCTTACAGGAGAGTTTTCTTTAGATAATATTTATATTTTCAGCTGTTTAATGTTCTAAGATTGACTAAAACTTATACAGCGTTCTTACAACAATGTACTATTATGATAATGGTTGATATTTTTAAAACATATTTTATGCTTCTGTATGAGATCGGAAAATTAAATACGCAACACAAGCTGTATATGTAATTATTTAACAGTTTCAGAGAATAAATTAGGTATTTGTTTTTCTAGAAAATCAAATGATTCGTAACAAGCACTGTCTGTCTGGGAAAGTCACGTTCAATCCACAATGCCCCCAGTGGCACAACAGTATGTCAGCGGAATTACAACGCTAGAAACCGGGTTTCGATACCCGTGGCGGGCAGATCACAGATAATCCATTGTGTAGTTCTGTGCATACCTACAAACAATCAATCCACACCTCTTACTCCCTGTAGCAATCACTGCTGGGGGTAAATAATGTACAAAACTACACTGTTGTCTTTCGAAAGTCCTAGAGAAATACTTAATTATTCACGCAAGTAATTTCCTGATACTGGAGAAAAATATCTCTTGAAACTGCTGTGTTCGTCCACTCTTCATTACCTGTTGTTTTTTTATCAACCATTAAACAGAAAACACAACAACAACAACGTACATTCTGTAAAGAGCTGGAAACACAAAAGTTTCATTCAACTATTCTAACATTCTTCGTTCCGTTAGTGTTAGGCTGTTTAATTTCGTTATCATCAAAGGACAATCTTTGGTTAGTTAGTTAGTTTGTTGTTAAGCGCAAAACTCTGCCCACTGTGGATACCGAAACCTGATTTCTAGCAGTATAAGTCCGCAGACATACCGCTGAGCCACCGGTTCGAATACACCTGTAGAAGGTGATACAGTTAACTGGATATGCTATGCGATATTGATATGTACAAACCAATTTGGAAACAAGTTATAATTTAGTTGAATGTAATATCGTGCAACTAAGATATTTTCTAGTGTTTTTGAATAAGTTTGATTAGCATTATGTTAGAATAAAATATCATTGTTATGATGTTATATATGTTTACTAAAAAACACACATTAACTATCAGGGTTTATATTTCCGTTTCAATGTTTATATTTTTATCTATTATCAAAATGTTTATTTCTCTAATTGTGCGTGTGTCTCTTATTACTTTGTGCCCCCCCAGTGGTACAGCGGAATGTCTACGAAAGAAACCGGATTTCGATACCCGTGGTGGGCAGAGCTTTGTGCTTAACAACAAACTAACTAACTAACCAAATATTGTCCTTTAATGATAACGAAATTAAATAGCCTAACAATAGCGTAAACGGAATAAAGAGTGTTAAGCTACAAATAAACTTACTGCTTTGCAAGAACACAAAGTATAAGTTTGTCACTATTGCGGCCGTCGCGCCATCTGCTAACAATATAAGTAACTAATATTGGTTATTTCGATTCTATGAATATATAAACAAACGAAATATTATCTACTGTATTGAAGACTTTATGTTTTTATTTAATGTTAATAGAACGTCACAATAATCGACTATGTTCATAAATAAATAAATATACAAAACACAATTTATTATTAAATGAATCTCAGAGCCTATGAACATATGGGAATTTCCATTAAAACGCAAAAAAATTGAATA